ATTTTGCCGCGTGCTTTCGTCCGTTAACGTGTCACATTCCGCGTTGTTGATCACGACAACACTTTCATCTATTTGTTCATTGCTTGCTGTAGATCGGTATTCGTCACCTTGTTGTTGTAGAAACGCTCATGTGGTATTCCTACGCATCAGAGTTCATCTGTATACAATGTTTATCAGCATCACGAGTGCATAATCTCTAACGAGACTTTCTGGCGCAATGTGTAGCTTGGCACATATCCAGCTGAACCATCATGGTTTCTAATCCAATGTTGGAAGACGTGCAAATGTGATAGCGTACCTTATTTGGGTTTCTTACAGAGAATTATATACGGTGTCCGTATATATAAATATATATAAATATATTTATATATGTATATCTAGTTGGGTGACCGATTTACTGACACGGAAATACTCAGCCGCAGTGGTATGCATGCATTGGAATGGGTAATATTGTGTAGCCCTTCAAGTGGATCGGAGATGTCTGCTGTATGGATTCCACGAAGATAACCAAGCAGCCGTTGTATGGTCCACTCCGCACAGGGAAGCAGAAAATGTGCAAACAGAAGCTACGTTACGTGCACATGATCAATGTGAGTTTATCACGTACTAATGTTGATTTCAGATGCTACGAAGCGACAGCACTTGACTGTGACAAATTGTGCGCCCACATCAAGAATGCGGTTGCGCAGTTGCACGCGAAATTATTGCGGCATGAAGAAACGTAACGTCGGTCGATGAAGCGACAGACACCGATAGGCATTAGCTCATCGACATTTGGAGCATGGTGCTGTAGCATATGTGGTCAAAAGTGTTGCAGCTAAGCTGGTCTGGTAAGCCGCTAGTGTAGATACTTGAGGCTGATATCGAATGCGCAATGATTCCGGTGATTAGGTAATCATCAGCGGCGCAGCACTTATAAATAAATAAATAAACGTTTATTCTCGACATTGCGAGGCACACCGGTACAGGCATGATAATGTATAGCTAACATACTGTGATCAAAATGTACAAAGAGTACATGTTTGGCATAACAGTGAATGTAAGTGTATGGGTGTATATATGTATGCAATTGTCTATGAATGTAGCTTGTATTTTTGAACGTGCCGCAGAATTTTTGACTGTTTGTTATCGGTAGGAATGTGAGAATAAGCGATTGACGTCCGTGGGTTGGATACCATTTTCCGGATGTCCACGGGCCAGTGACTTTATTTTGTGGCGAGTCACGTCCGCCACGTCACAGTGTTGATAAGCAGACATTTGTGGCTTTTTATAGGGAGAACGCTTGCCGGGCGAAAACCCACCACGTCCTGGAACACTGCCGCCGAACTATTTGCTGGAACGGGTTAAACACGAACCACCCAGTAGGCACCACGACGAGGTTGTTCGGCTAGCCAGCTGAGTCTGTTTACTACTCCAGGGAAACGTCTGTCAAAGTTGGCCGTAAACGGCTAGTTCGGAGCTGCTAAACTAGGAGCAGCAAAGTTAGACTCCTCTTCATCTCATTATTATGCCACGAAATGTTTTACATTTTTGACAAGAATCAATAGGCGGGCTGAAGCTGGAACTCTATCTATGAAGCACGCACGGACACGCAATCTACTACTTTCAGTGAGCCACAGTCGCAATGGCTCTAGTGAAATAACTTACATAGGATTGTTACAGAATCAGTCACCAAGTATGTATGAGTATCTAAGCAGGTCGCCACTTCAACACGACCAGGTGTACACACCTGGTCAATATTAGACAAACACACTCTTATTGCGTCCCCTGGGTAGATTAAAATAAATCGAGTGACGAATTTAAGCTATTTGCCTCTTCGCAACAGCAGTATGGCTGCGAACCCGGATTATCTACTGTGTTGAAACAAGTGGTGATTCATGTGTCCACCGTTAACACAGAACCTGAAGGAACCATATCTTCCTTGGCCGTTTTACAGTTAATCTATCTATACATTTGGCCATGACCTAAGAAACCCGGAAAACTACTGTATTGGGCTCAATTTAAGGTTTCCTTGATGTGTGCAGACCATGACGACTGTATTCATGTGATTTCGATAAGGAGCTTTATCTCTAATTGAACTCAGGCAGTTCCTGCAATCTCAGGCATAAAGTCTGACTGTTTATGGAAAGAATTTTAAATTGCCGGTATAGAACTAGGCCGATGTATTGACTAGTAACATTTGTCAAATCTGTGTGTAGGCCTTCATAACAATCAACATGCACAATCAGTTCCACTGTTCGAAAGCGTCTGACCTGCATCCCAAGCGAACAACACTATACTTGAGTTCAACAGCACAAGTGAATTTTTTGACGTGACTTGACTAGACTTTTAAAGCACTGAGGTTAAAACTCCAACAAAGCGATCATCCTTTGTTTGGCTGCCACTGCGAACCGGTATTACTCTAGGCTAGTCAGATATCAGGTCAGCTTTACTGAACCTTGTGTTTAGCGATGAAGAAAGTCTATTAACGCAGTAACTGTCGACTGTTTTTTGGGCCTCAGTGAACGAGCGTTCATAAGTTTCGTCCCTATCTGCCAGCCGAAAAGCCAGTGGGAACGCTGAGCTGGTGGATACCTTGCTCACTTCGACCACTTCGAGTCACTTGCGAAGATACTTCAGCAACATCTTGGAAGTAGCTCGTCACATAATATGATATGACGCTCAAGCAAACTTCAGCTTCGATGACTTACGATCGGCCAGCAATAATTCTCTCTTAAGGGCAGAGAGCAGAAACGCAGTATGGATAGCAACGCCATATGACGATAGTATAGAGTTTTAGAAGCTCCCGACACTTAGGATGGCTACCTTGCCCAACTTAATCACTACACTCAGCCTCGCCCATAAAATCTAAAGGCGCAAAATTAGGATCTTGCGACAGATTTCCATAATATTCACAAGGCAAGGAATGGATACATCACTAAACTTCCGAATTCACGATAGGGAATTCGTCAATTCTGCAACGTTGATAAACCAGTTAATGTGCCAGCTGGTTTCAAACACACTGTGATCCCCAAATTTTAAGGGATTGTGCTATCGTAAATACTTCTTGAAAAATTAACTTTGTCACCAATATTCAGCTACATCACTTTTACCTCCTAAACTGTGTTGTGAAACCAGTCGTCTGCCTAAACACCACTAGCATGCGGTGAATATCATGCGCATAAACAGCTTGCGAGTAGACGCAAGGAATCTAACGGAAGTTAGACTCGTTTTTTCAACAATAAGTGCACAGAACAAACTTTACGCCATCTGGTGAATTATAACGGCCACCTCAGTCCAAATGTCAGGGACTAGGGTTCAAAATAACGGACATGTTGAGAGGCTACTTGAGGAACTGCAATCTCATTGCTTTTGAGCATCACGAATTCCGTCAATATAACTTGTATACCACGAATCTGTTAATAGCGACGGACAGTTGGGCTACAGAAGCAGACGGTGGAGAGGTCGCTTATGTGAGATACTCCTATTTCTCATAATCAATTTATAGCTTTAATCGACGAACATTCCTTTCTGAGCTCCAACCTAGTCGGTTAGCACACATTGCACAACAATGTTAGAAAATCTCCGCTCACATCATAATGCAACCTGCGATCCGTTTGGTACTCGTGTGTGCACGTCAGGTAGAGATAGCAGCAAGGCGACTCGAAATCCGGAAATTTCTGGCTTCTCGCCGAGAACTTTACTTTTAAGGTACGGAGTTCTACTACTGCTCATCCAATGTTATGCTGACATACTGGTTCGGCGTGATGTGTGTTCGTCAAACAATCAAGGAAAACCTTAACGGCTATGAACTAGCAAGTCAGCCCTTTGACATTCAGACACTGGGAATTCCTTTTCCTATAGATGTCTGGCGCTTATATTTGTGCTGACGTCGAATACGCTACCTAATCCCAGTAGCCATAGCAAAGATAGCTCACCACTTTTTGACTTCCTCAGGACGGGCTGCCAAATACCTCCCACATTCGTGTCATCTTTTATACAAACGGAGGCTGAAATAGCTATGAATAATCAGCGAACTGTATCGCGGTTTCTATTCAATCTGATGATGCCTGTTCCTACGTAAATTATGGCATGCACGCCACTAGTAGCCAGTGCTAAGCAGTAACGCTAGTCTGAGGGGAAAACTCACGGAAAACTATGAAATAGTGTGGCCAATATGAATGCCGCAAAGTGTTTTCTTTTCACGTAATTCACATTGGAACACGCAAACCGAATCGGCATTTTGCCAGCTGACACTGGCTATATTTAGAATGCCGCTAGATGATACACTCAGCCATATATATTTGGTCACGTCGAAGTTGCATTCACTGCGCATTCCGGTAAAATGATTTTGTTTATGGCTAGATTTACGTTTGTTTTACAAAATACGAGGAAAACCAGAGTTAATGTTTCATGTACACGCAAAAGCTAGCAAGCGTCTTCAGGCATAAGTTTGTTTTGTTTTCTACTCTCTGTAGAGTCATCTGGAAGCACACGTTGGATGAAAATACTCATCATACCACCCAGCAGGGTTAAAACGCCGGTTTATTCAATACGAATAAACAGTTTATCATAGTTCATTTGCAGATGTATGAACAGATATCAAGTGGGGCAGGCTGTTCCCAAGTCTACATTGCTTGTAAGGAATGAGTTATCAGTGGTATATGTTTTCAGGTTGGACACAGTCTTACCATGGAGCCAGTTACATCCACATGCTATCACATCCTTTGACGAATAGTATTGTCGCGCGACCTTCATATTTTTCAAGATCAGAAAATGCTTCTTACAAAATGTACATATGAGAGGCGGCATTTAAGCACAGTAGTTCACGACCTGATTATTCAAGAAGTGAGGTGAGCATAGTGAATAATTTCTGTCAGGTACCCTCGCAACATCATATCACTGGTCCCACACTTCCTGAGCACATGGCCATGTTATCGATCTGCACCTGCGTCAGCGTTCAACTCGATTGGATGTTGGTTGTGTGTGCATGCCACATGAGTAATGACACTTTCAGTTCCGACACATTTGCGTGCGCGTGGGTAGGCAGTCTCGTGTGCACTGAGCAAAAGTGGAAGTTTGCCGCAAAAACCGATCATAGTGAAATCTCTACCAACCCGAAACGGTGTGGCCTGAAATTGGTGAGTTAGACTAGGGAAACGTACAAAGTACGCATAGTGTTCCCGATTAAGATTAACTCGTGCAGAAGTGAAGTTATATGGCATTATGCATTTATGATTGAAGAACACTTCTTAGAAGACTATTCTGAAGAATTGTTCATGATGCTAAGTTGCTCGTAAACCGGTTATTTTTATCGTACGTTACTTTTTATATTCGTTAATTCGGCTAGGCATCAATTTTGGTAGTCTTTGGAATGTTCTTCTCTTGAATACAGGCTTATTACGAACATGAAAATACGCTTGACAAGCTGTTCAATGATCATTTTTCATCGCTGTTAGTTTTTTACTTATGACGATCAGGCCCACCAACGCTAGATCCGAACCATTAGTCCTACCATTAGCTTGACATCAAACAACTTTCCGAAATCACAGAGGATCAATAACCTAGTGTCAACAACTTCTTAACAGCTTGGACAAAAATGATAATATGAAGCCACTGAAAGTTTATTTAAATGCTGGTATGAGCGAACAATTTTACACCAGTATTGCATCACTAAACGTTAAAAGACACTCTTCGGGAAATAAAGCGGTTTAAGTTTGCAACTAGACCCGGAGTTTACTAACTCCTTTTGGCGTGGTCACTATTTTCCTACTTATTTGCTTAGTAGAACCAGGTGCTTTTGCGCACATAGATGTTCGTTGTTTCTGCTTACTATAGGAAGCTAGGAGAATCTGACGGTCTCGTTTATTGGACAGTGTGAAAACTAGCGACACCAAGACCAACACTGCAGTAGTGGAAGAACTGATAAGACGGAATATATGAAATACTTTCACGGTTGGTGGCTTTTGTTGATTTCTTTGCTGCTAGATAAATAACAGTTAACTTCTTCGTGTCCTGTGTTAGATCGTGTTAATAACGAATCCACACAGCGGCAGTGACGTGGTACAACGAACAAGCATAGACCCCACGGATGTATCATACTGAGGCACTCGCTGTGTGAATAGATTGCGACAAGTGATCTTCCTCTGGAAGTCTAATAAATTTGAGATGCACCTTGCTCATTTTGGTTTCCAAAACTGCACTATACGAACGGTTTAGCATCTGGTTACACTCAGCAAACTGGGATGGGTGCTGAGACTGAAATTCGAAACGTAGTCTCTGGCGGCTGACATCCCGATCTCTCGGCCACTGAGCTCCGGCTGCGTTTGCCTATTGAAGCCAAACAGGCCCGAAGCCAGTTCTGGAGTACATTGCTGTGAGCAAGCCAAACAGAAATATTTTGAATTTTAGTTACGATACAAGCGATTGGAATGGGCGATCAATCAATTTGGGTCCCATTTGATATCGTATGAAGCATTCCATGTACACTGCGGATATACAAAAAAGCGGCACTAGATGCTTAACTGTTGCGTCAATCAATCCCAATCATCTGGTGATCAGGGCATCAGTCGTAAAGCACAAGGTGCAGGAATTTGTTCTAACGAACTTCAGTATGCCATGAAAAACGGGGAAGAATAAGACCTGGAAGCATGCGAACTGGAGTGATTAACCACTCGGAGCCGGGACAGACTTCCTCGGCGATTCCATTCATTAAACACATCGAACAGCGGTCCACCGTACCAAAGTGTTAACACAATCCAATCCTTGTGGGTACTATTTGTACGACGTTAGAACATACTGCCGGTATTCAGGTTTCTTGGGCTAGACTTTGGTTTGTACGCCAGTTACATCAACACCCGCCTAACGTCTGTCACTACTGCAACTAAGGTCTCGCATGCTATATTGCCTTAATCATACTATCGTAAAAGCTATTTAAAATTAGTCCAAACTGGGCACTTATGTTGAGGTGGAATTCGGTTAGTCCAGAAGTCTGGTCAAACTCCAGTTCTAGTACCCTCTAGTAGTAACCTGGCTAGCCCCAGTTGTATCGATTTGTGTCAATCCAGTGTCAACACCTTCGCACCAGATAGTTAGACAAATTGAATGATGTTGATTAAATACCTCTACATGTATTTTTATGAAGCTTACACGAGACAGCCAAACTTACACTTTTCTGTGTGATTGATCAACACACCGGAATCCGTAATCCGGAGACGTTGGAAGACGAGAAGGATGGTATCTTCAGAACGTTTCGAGAGAACCAATACCCTGTTCCTTTCATCAAAAAGCACATAATGAGTCGTGTGCACATAGAAATCATCATGACCCTACCAAAATGATGCGCTGCTCTCAGTTCCATTCACAGGGAACGCCGTCCATGACTTACTGAAGTGAAGAGTCGGTCGCAGTGTCCTAAATCTTTCCATCCACCTACCAACCTGAGGATTCACAGACTACATCCTTTGTGACACAAAGCCTCAACTACAGGCGTTCCAGTTAAACCATACGTTCTGCATCAGTTCACGTGCAGCTATGAAAGTACAACACATCTTGAAAATGCGACCACCTGTTTGTCAAAACAGGTACTATAACAAGGCCCAGTATTGCTACGAAGAGGCAAGGCTAGAATCATTAACAATGCTTTTATGGATCAGTTGCTCCTTGAGAGTACAAGAAAACCAGATAACAGCTGTGTTTAAACTTTTCTACTCCCTGTCGCTATATTTTATTAACACATTCGGAAATCATCTCTTGAAGACGGTTGAAGCAATCGTTATTTAGTTGATGCAGTCTGAGGCGGTCAATCAAAGGACCGTCATGCAAGACCTCCATTTACATTAGCCTCGAAGCCCTTCACCAATGTTCGGCACTGGCAGTTGCCACCATCTGCGAAGCCTGCTCCCAGTGAATCGACCTAAATATTGGTCCAAGTTGATAGTCTCATTCGAATGCCTGGGGATTAACATTCTTCGACCCAACTTTAAATAGGATGTTGTGTTGCCTGATTCCGTCTCATAATTGGAATAGCCTGATGAGAATCATTGAAAAGGGATCTCTTGGCTAAGTTGTTTTTCCTATTTAAACATCTGATAGCCATAAAATGCAAGATTTGTACAGGTTTAGTGCAGCCAAGAGTAAACGCACAGTTTATAACCTGACAGACAGCTACACATCCAGTAGTTTCTATACCTCCATGTTTCCCACAAACAATAAAAATACAGCAACTTGAAGGCAACATGGATACACATGTTAATAGTTCATTATATTCGCTGGTATCCAAGTGTACCGTCCGTAACATTGTGCTCCAGTGAGCTGAACGGTAGCCACCAAGGTAGCAGATTCGTTCATTGACCTACTGCATCTTTTGGTTGTTTGTAGGTAACACAGATCCTGAGACGGCTTGACCTGTTTGTAAGGTCACACCACCATCGTATGCGTTGTGAGACGCGTGGCTAATCAATCCGTTGTTGCCGGGTGTTCCGTATTCGTAGATGGATACGTTCACTCACTGGTGCATGAAAGTGATGTGAATGTGTCGCAACAGAAAAAAAATTTACGTGGCAGAGTAGGGTAGATTCTAGACGAGTTATTTACTAGGTGTTCATCAGTCTTACCTAAGTAAGAACTTCCCGGGGTACTTAAGTGAGCTACTGAGTTCACTCACTTCTACTTGTGTCTCTTTAATCATAACTAAAGAGGTTGACGGAGAAAAAGATAAGATGCTTCGCAAAAATAAACCATTGCAAGCAGAGTACAAAAGGCGCATTAGCGATGTTGGTTTTAAGTATTAACATAGCCCTAAATGCAACTATCCCGACAATACCATCCAACCGACTAAGTCGTCGGCCTGTGGACCCTGCACTATATGAGCGTACTTCTTGGTCCCCTTACTAATGGATTGGATGCCTCGATGTAACCTGGTCTGATGGTCAATTGCTTCAGTGGTAGTCATTCTGTTTGTTACAAACCCTGTTGGCGCCTGTAAATAAAGGCACCAACAAGTAGCGCAAACATTTTACTACAGAAGCTATGTGAGCGACAAATTACGTCGACAAATACTTATTAACGCTCATTGTAGCTCGTTTTCGGGTAGCATCTTGCGCGAATAAACCACGATAAGCAAACGAAGATTAAAAAATATTTTGCTTTGAGACTGCGGGTCGTAATTCGATTACACAAGAGCACCCCAACAATTTAATCAAAATTGAGCGATTAGCACATGTGGTCAATGTCACCCCTGGAGTTTTGTGGTGTTGGCAATCCCGGACCCGTTTTGGAGAACCAGTTTTGTTTCACCTAAGACTAATGCTTGCGTGCAAGCACAAATCTTGTCTTGAAGTGCACTATTTCGAATGAATAGTACCCAGCATTTAATTCCTAATCGGATAATGCAATCAAGTAAAGTGGCAAACTCCTGAGTCTTAAGGGGTGACCGTGAAAAAATGCAGCATCCAATGAATCTGACTATTGGGGAAGTATCATTTACTTGGGTCATGCACACACAAGCGCATTCCGTTAACTGGCAAGCGCAACATCCCACGCGTAAATTAAAACTTCACCACCCTGACTTCACAATATGATGCCGCTAGATAAAGGAGGTAGTTTAATTCATGATAAATCTAGGGAATACTAGTAGTTACTAGTGATAATAAGCTAAAATGATTTCAATAAATAGCAAAGGTCAAAAGCTTACGGTTATTAGCGCAACATTGTTTACCGCTTATGCTGATCAGATGGGTACTGCAAGAGTTTTCACATGGCTTTAAATCCATATTGGGATATTCCACGCAACGGATTTTACGTAGCCTTTGTTTTGTACATTGCAAAATGTTGCTACTTAGCTTGTGGATGATTTAACTCCGCAAGGTAACTGCAGAGCTGACGTAATAAGTAAAAGTAAATAAATAACTCTTCTGTCGCACATCGATACGAGAGACTGTTTTTCCACACAGGACAATATCAACGAGCATACAGAAATTTACACAACAACTCTTGTCATCAGTGAGAGGACTGTGGATAGAAATGCCTTCAACACATGGGGTTGGCATATATATGCGTGCTTCCCTGTGGGTCACACACAACGTGGCCAGTTAATTTGCGACGGAATGATAGAAAGAAGCAAATTGACAAATGTACAGCA